CAGATATACAAACACTTCTGTCCTGAGAGCCGCTGGTATCACTCGGTCCATAAGCCTGCACATGGTTTGGGGTGCATTACATAGCCCAACTGGCATGACCTTAAAGTGATATAGAGGTCTCCCAGGCACAGTAAATGCTGTTTTATCCTTCGATGACTCATCAAGTGGTATTTGCCAAAAGGCATCCTTGAGATCTAGGCTACTTATGTACTCGGATTTAGGAAGGCGGCTAAGTATTCCATCTATATAAGGGAGCGGATAGGCATCCCCCACAGTCAGAGAATTAAGCTTTCTGCTGTCCAAACATAACCTATTCTTGCCTGGTTTCCGGTGCAAAACCACAGGCGAAGACCAAGCACTAGTAGATTCTTCTATGACCCCCATAGAGAGCATCCGATCTAACTCCTCATAAATCAATTTTTCAATAGCCGGTGAAACAGGAAAGTGCCTCTGTTTCACTGGCTTGGCATCGCCTGTGTCAATATTATGGAATAAAATGTTGGTTCTGCCTAACCCTTCCTTTGAGAACGACGGAAATAACCCAATGACACGCTGTATATCAACTTGTTGTTGCTGAGAAAGAAGTTTATCACCAAGTATTTCATCCACGTTGCTTAGTGAATAAACGTAGTCCAAACCAACTGTAATAGTACGTTTACATTGTACCGGATTTCGTTAACCCAGTAGGTTTAAATTGTCAATTCCATTGTATATATGCCAAATAAATCCTCATAAAATAGGTTAACCCTGTAAAAAGTTCTAATGTAAATGCCGTTTAAGCGTGCTAGGAAGCAAATCGAACGACTTCCAAAAATCGATACCTAGTATCAAATTCTGTGATATACTAGGGACAATGAAGAGTTTAATGTTTTTCTTTTTACCACGAAACACAACATTAGCTTGTAAAACGCCCACAACTCTTTGCGATTTTCCATCAGCTGTCTTTACCGATGTATTAATAGACTTGTAAGGCTCATTGGATGATATAAAGTCCGCGTCCGCTTGAGATCCTAAACAACTAACGGATGCTCCTGTATCGAGCATGCCTATCATTCGTTTGCCTAATATTTCTACTTCCGCATATGGCCGTACATCATGTTTTCGATCAAGAACAGAAACTGAGAAACTCTTTTTTATATTTTTAACTTTTTTCCAAAAATCCTTGATTCTTCGACTGGACCTACTAGGCTTATAATCCTCACCAAAAATTCTATTCCTAACACTTAAATAATTTCGCAAGCGTTCAAGGAATGGTAAAAGGGGACAAGGGCCATTTCTAGTAACGAATTCCGAATTTCCGTTTGATTTCACGAGTTTTGGTTTCACAGGGTCAACATCAGATGGAAAGGTGTCATTGGTGATTTTCACTTCTTTTCCGGTTGTTGGTAGCGACAGCACCAAAGGGTGCAGTAAGCTGGGAAGTTTTTTGGATTCCCATTACATTTCCGACAATTTGGTTTATATGTCTGGGGTGCACCACAACCGTAGCAAAATATCGTTCGTTCTGCAAGACAGTCTTGATATCGATGTCCAATAGATCTGCAATTCCAACATGTGAGAGAAATCTCGGCGACCCTTTCTTCTGTTTCCAATAACTCTGGCGGATACTCCGTCTCCTCACCAATTTCTGACAACCGTTTCTGCAACTGACCAATCTTATTGTTTGATATACCGTGCTTCCTATGGATATCCTGCATAAAAAATTCCCTTCGGCGACATATTTCTCGTAATTGACCTATTGAGCTAATCCCCATGTTTAATATTTCATGTTGAATTTCTGGCAACAGGTTTCTCCTCAGAATTTCAACTAAAGTCTTTTCATTTAACGGCTGATCTAATCTATCCACAAGATCAATTACCGATTCATAAAATGAATCAAATGATTCATGTGGTTTCTGGCGCCGGTCCCTTGTCATTTCCCTATAGTCTACGTCCGTCCTGGAATCTTTATATTGACGTCTTAAAGCGTCACACAAATCAGGCCAAGTGACCCTGGTGACTGTTTTATGAAAACGCCAGAACCAGTCATTGGCTTTTCCTTCAAAAAGCGCTGAAGCATTTCCACATAATATTTCGAAATTTCCACCTAACGTTTGATTGGTTAAAGCTTCTATTCTGTATATAAAATTATCTACTGGCAGACAATTTGAACCTCTACTAAACTTCAACTTCCTATTAAACATAATCTGACTCACTTTGTCAGGCCTAAATAGCAAATCACAGATAGTAGACGGGGTATTCGAATTCTATCGATTTCCTACATCCCTATTAGATGAAGAGTCATTGTGGTTAATGGAAGTGTTCCTGGGAGCAGAGGGTAAACCTAATAGCTGTTCCAGAGTTCTTTGCTCCACGTCAGGTAACGTTTGCATTGTCGGAACTCTGTTCGAATTTGGTGATGATGTATTAGGATTCTGGGCGTTATTCAACCGCGACAAATTAGCTTCAATGCTTTTTTCAACCAGTTGTGAAATTGACTACCTAGATTTGAAGGAAATAGTGCCTGCTGAGTTGCTACCGACCTTGTAATCATATCCTCAATATTGTTTACAGAGATGTTGGGAATTGCTGGTGACAAAGGGGCTGGTATATGTTCGGCTTGAACACGAGATTCATCGGCAGATTGTTGATTGCAATCTGTTGATCTATTAGAATCAAATGACTTTGCTTTCGATGCGGACCTCGTTATAATTGGAGATGAGGGTTTGGATTTAGCAGATTGTGAAGAAGAAGATCCTTTGTAATTCTACTACTACAAACGGGGCAATTTGTATTATTTCGCATATTATTAGATATACAGATTCGGTGAAACAAATGTCTGCATATTGACTCAGTCAACGCTATGATAGCTGACTTGCAAACACAACAAATTGGTACACTTTTCTCAGCTGCTACTGAAGCAGGTATATTTACATCACTTCTAGCAAGTAGCATTTTCAACGCTATATGTAACAAAAATGGAATATTTTCTAAATATTAAACAACATATGTATGTGATTATGATATAATAAATAATCAAATAATTTGTGTTAAAAATTTTATAGAAATGTCTGTGTTTGACCTTTTCCCAGCAACCGAGGTTATTAGGGGTTTATAAATGGCTTAAAAATCAATATATGTTCTTAGAAAAAAGAAAAGAGAAGAAACTACAAGATTACATTTACACTGGATATAAAAATCGTCGATAATTTTTACATTATCCAAATTGTAAAAAAAATATAGAAACATGTTAACAAAATTCATCAGAAGGTCAGCTTTAGACAATTGGTCCAAGGAACTGAATTCCTCTTATCCGAAATCCTGGAAACAAATTTCTTGGCAGAAGTAACGAGTAAAAAATGCAGGGTTACATTCAACAGCACTATGGCATATAATGAATAGTAAATTCCACAGACATTATTTTATCCCGTGAAAGGGGGAAAATAGAATAAAGAAGTAAAGATATGAAATAGGAGCTGAGTGACAGAACACAATATGTAAAATATTAGGCTGTTTGATCTAAAAAATAGAACTAATTTCATATATCAATCACTCGGGCCCCACGTTGGGCGCCAAAAATTTATTTCTGTAGCATATAACCAATATAAATCATCGTAAAGTTCGTAGAAAAATCACGAAACTACTCCTAGTATAGACCTAAGTGGCGATGGCATGCTTAGTTTCCACAGCCTTATTGCTCGTCGGTGGGTGGGGTTTTTGCCAAGGTCTAATAGAGATACAATATAAATTTTATTTTATCTTAGCATGCTGAGAAATGGAATAATTTAGAAAGGAAGAACAACTATTATATTTTAAATCATGGTTAGCTAGTGCTGATGTTGCACCAACTTACAAGCCCTCCCATCCATGTTACCCAACATCCGTTGCAATATTCCGGTAACCCTTCTTCGTACCCCCTACCAATAACCTGCGCCTACAAAGGTCAAACTAATAACAGATTCAGTTCATGGCAATTTTAGCCAACAATTTTATGCTAACTTCAAAAATAATCATTTTATAAACTAACAAAATTAAATATGAACAAATGGTAACATTAAACAATAACATAAATTAAACATCTTAATAATATAAGGACTTAATATTATAAACATTTTTCTTTCTCAATAATATGTGTGGGTATCGATCCCAATAATAATCAAACTATCACAGCTGATAATTCTACTAAGTTCAATGACCTCGTCTACCAACTTTTACTTTATGCAAACGAAAGGAAAACAATAATAAAATTGACAAAAGAACATATGCAAAGAAACAAGCAAAATCGAGAGACAACAGTTATTTTTTTTCAAAGCAACTGAAGTCTCCAAACACCAATTCTCAATTATTGCTTGATAAGAATAGAGAATATTCCATCCACAAAATGTAGCCAAGCTCTCTGTATGGGAGTGATGAATATTGGGATTAGGATATACTGGAGCAACCAAACATGGCCGGAGAATAACGGTACTGTATACAACGGTATTAAAAAAAGAACCAGTTCCATATTAAAGTACATAAATGAGAAAACGCTCAAGATTGGTCATCGCCATATATATTAATAACAATAACAATTTACATTTCAGCTGGATCCATCGATGAAAGGCCGTTCACTCTAGGAACTCGATGCTGTAACTTATAATCTCCTTGGAAGTTGTATGTTATGATGATTTAATAAAGGCAAAATAATATGATCACTAGTTTCACACCTTCCCAATGTTCTTGATAATAATGGTGACTTTGTTATTTTCTTAATTCTTTCTTTAGTTTAGTTTAGATCACAAATAACTGTGTTAATATCGATAGCCACACACACTCAAACATAATCATTGGATCGAAATAATTAAATTAATATTCTAAAAAAAATGTCTTTTTCTTGGATCTTGTTTGGATATCGTTTTTCATCAATTCAGAACTTTTCATCACAAGATTCCCTCGTTTCTTTTAACTTTTGTATATTCCACCTGATCTCAACCGATTCCGAACCACGAGGCGAGATGCTGTATAATATGCAGTTGATCACTATGAACACGCCAAGAGAACTGATCGACAGTAACTCTCCCCAACGGGAGAATAGGTCACCAAATGTCTATTTGCTCGTGGTGAATTCAGACCTAACAAAGAATGTAAATATATTTGCGAAATTATGTTTTTTTTCAAAGCAAGAGAATAGCATCAATATTCACCTATTAAACAAATGGTTAAGCCGGCACCAAATCTGTATATTGGTTCGGCAGGATATACGATAAAACAATTGATTCAAAGCTTTGGGAACAAAAACTCCTTGAAGCAAGAAAAAAGCCAGAACTCTAAGACCAAGATCTTTCCTTTTTATGACAATTTCCAAGGGTTACACAATGACAAAAAAGTTAACAGCAAATTTCAATTTTTTTCAATTTCAATTTTTATTAATCCAAAATTAACAAATTATCTAGTGTAAGATATGTACATTACAAGGTTTGAGATATATCAAAAAGATTTACAACAAATAGTATGCTCTAAATTGTATGTTTTCATTAATATATGATTTGATCGATTTAAGGCAAAAAGGATTGTAAAAACCTTATATGAATTTTTAAAATTTAAAGGGTCATGATTTAAAAATATAAGTTCACAATTTAATTATTTTTAAAGAAAAATAATTAACTATTGATCTATATTTTTGCATGGTGATTAACATTTCTATTATAAATATATATCGCAACACTCTCTTAATATTTCATAAGGAGAATCTAAAAGTTTTTGGAAATAGTTTTCATTAATTCTGTTTATAAAATCGATTATGAGTTCGTAACCAGTATCTTCATGTAGTATTGTCGTTGGGTAGCGCCAAGGTTTGTTGAATATCATCTTCAAGCATTTATTCTGGATGATTTGCAGTCGTTTGAGATGCGTTTTTGCTGCTCCATGCCATACTGGTGAGGCGAATGACATTATGGGTCTGATGACACATTTATATAATAGGTTTTTATTTTTGAGAGAAAGATAGGAGCGCTTGTTCAAAAAGGGCCATAATGCTCGGAATGCAGTGATAGTTAACAGCAAATGAAAATTAGGAAAGTAACAAATATATATATATATATATATATATATATTTGAAAGATTCACTAATTCAAACAATTTTACTTACTGCCTTGTATTTTTCCTCAGCAAATAGCTCGATTAAACGGAAAATAATAGCAGTGGATTCGCAATGACAAACGTTGTCATACTTGTACAATAAATAATTTCAATATTAACTATTTAGGTTTTAGGAAAAATTCTTGCGTACTGTTCAGCTATCAAATATAAGTGAGAAAAATGGCTACCAAATCACTACCTTTTCTAGCCTCGGTTTTATTTCCAACAGAAAATACATTCTTATTTGCACAAACAGGCAAAAAAAATTTCAATATGTCTTCCCCAAAATGAAACAAAGCTACAACCGCCTACAACATGTCTCAATTATCTATGTTCAACGATACCACGATAGAATAGCCTAACTTCAGGATGAATAAAAAAACACTGCATTATCCATCTTAATTTATGCATGTAGTAGACACTAATATAATGACAAAAAGGAAGTGCATCACAAGCGCCATTACATTTGAAAATAGCTTTCACTTATTCTTGGCCAACTAACGTAGATCTGTGCATGGTCCTTCGAGCCGGGCCTTCAGGCCCATTAAAGATAAATTACAAAATCTATATAAAGTGCTTAACCTAATACCCAAAGTGCTTAAAAAACTACCCAAAAATAATAATAAATTCAAAAAATTAAAATATAAATTCATACAATCGTAAATACCATAATAAAAACTACTCCGATCACAAAAATTTGTCCTTGTATTTTAACAAAATATTTTAATGAACCACGCACAAGCGTTGCTTTCTTTACTTGTTTTAAAATATTTTTTTATATAATTTTTTAGACGTGAATTTAAAAAAAAGTTTTGGAAGGCTTACGTAAGTATGAATATTAAAAAAAAAATCAGGGACTACACTTAAGCGGGGAAGATAAAATTGTATTTCTTTAAGCGATTGCATATAGGCATTGATTTAAAAACATAATTTTTTTCAAGGACCAAATATAGACGTGGATTTCGGGAACCACACAAATACGGGGATTCTTTAAAAAATATCAGAGAAAACTAAATTTTTCAGAGCAGATTTTATAAAGTATATTTTTTTATTTAATAAAGTAGGTTCTTTGTGTTTCAATTTCGTCCTGCAATTCTGTTAAATTTGATGCATCTACTCTAAAAAAACATTAATATGACGGCATAATCCTTATTATCCAAACTTACCCTATATGGGACCCGAAATCGCCTTGGTTTGTACATGTTATTTCTAAAAACACATTGTTATTTTTTAGATACATTATTATTATCACTCTTCGATCTTCGTATTTTGAGAAACTGGATTCGGCATCAATGAACATGTAGTTTTCGCACTATTACGTCCCTTCATTGAAAAGTGTATTAGCAAATTCTGTCTTTCGACGTTAATGCGACGTCACAAACTGCGGACCAAAATCCGTTTTTAGTCCATTGACACTTTAAAAAAATGTTTATTTTAACCACACACAAATTTTTCACACAACACGAAAGTTCTCATTTTTATATTTCAACTTTCTAACGTTTTTTAAGAGATTTCAACATTTTGTCGCAAAATGGATTTGATTTTAAATTAACATGTTTGCAATTTGATTAATAAAGAACACGTAAACACGTGAACAATTTTTCCAAAGAGTCGTCAAAAGTTAATTAGAAATACATAAAACAAAGTAATCTATTATCAAAATTTCAATCCGGATTTCAAATAAAACTGCTCATGCGAAACAATAGTAAACTATGTAATAAATCGTTGGAAAGGTGTTGGTAAAATAAAAAAAAAATATTGGCCAAGGTGTATAAGTTGTGACAATCATATGGTTTTAAACTTTTTTCATTTTTGTTTGTGAAACAAATTGTCAAACGCAATTTTGAAATAAAATTTGAATTATTGTTATTAAATTTAAAATGTCATATTTTATTTCAAATAAAACTGCTCATGCGAAACAATAGTAAACTATGTAATAAATCGTTGGAAACGTGTTGGTAAAAATAAAAAAAAAAATATTGGCCAAGGTGTATAAGGTGTGACAATTATATGGTTTTAAACTTTTTTTTCATTTTTGTTAGTGAAGCAAATTGTCAAACGCAATTTTGAAATAAAATTTGAATTATTGTTATTAAATTTAAAATGTCATATTTTATTAATAAAATGGAAAATTATGTCCGTAACAAAAGAATTTGCTGATAGAACGGTTTATTTTTAGTACCTGACCCACCCGGTACTGTGGTATGCCGCCTATTGGAGGAGATGGGCAGAGTTGGTGATATCATCATCGGATGTGACGCCAACGCACATCACTTCCATTGGGGAAGCAGCAACACAAATACAAGAGGTGAGTCCATTTTCGAGTTTATACTTAGCTATAATCTTAGAATTTTCAATAGAGGCAATACACCAACTTTTGTTAATAGGGTGAGAGGTAAAGTCATCGACATAACCCTCACAAATATGGACGACTCTGGGGTCGTAAACTGGGAGATGTCTGAGAAATGTTCCTTTTCGGATCATAGACTCATATCCTTCCAGATTCCTACCTCTAGAGCTAAACAGAAACCCTATAGGAATCCTCGGAAGACGAACTGGGTCAAATTCAAAGCTAAAACAGCAGTCTGTTTTCGGGATCGTAATGATCTCAAAACGACTGAGGATGTTGAATTAGCTGTGAAAAATGTCACGGCCACTCTTCTGAAGAGCTATGAGGCTTCTTGTCCTCTAACATACCCTGGGAAGAAATCTCAGCCGGTATGGTGGTCACAAGACCTTGCAACCTTGCGGAAGGCTGCAAGGAAAGCTTATAATAGAGCTAGTAAGACAAAGCTCAGTACATATTAGGATGTTTATAAAAGACAATTCAATAGGTACAAAGGCGAAATCAATAAAGCTAAACGTGAGTCTTGGGTCTGCTATAGTGTGTCTATCGAAGGAGTCAACGAAGCGGCCAGATTCCGCAGAGTACTATCTAAGGATCCAAAATCCATTGGAAGTATTAAGCGAAGTGATGGTACGTGGACAAACTCTGGTAGTGAGACTCTCGATCTTCTATCATCAACCCACTTTCCTGGTTGTAAGGACTATAGGGAAGATGCGCAGTGTGTGCATCAGCCTACAGTTCGGACGAGGGAAGAGGAGAAGATGATAGAAGCTACTATAAGATACCCAAAACTGATATGGGCGATGAACAGTTTTCAACCCTATAAATCTCCTGGTCCAGATGGTATAATACCGACCATGCTGCAACACGCAGATGAACGAGTAATATCATCTCTGCAGGACATTTTTAGGGCTTGTTTACTTCTGTCGTACATACCAAGTCTAAGGAAAGAGGTTACCGTGACCTTCATCCCGAAAGCCGGGAAGCCGAGTCATACGTTACCTAAAGACTATAGACCGATTAGCCTTTCTTCCTTTCTACTAAAAACTTTAGAAAGGTTACTAGACTCAGAAATTAGAAATACCATTGACCGTAATAAACTTAGTAAATCCCAGCATGCCTACATCAAAGGCAGATCAGTGGATACAGCTCTGCATGAGGTGGTTGGATGCATCGAGAAGAATATGGAGTCCTATGGCTACACGTTGGCAGCATTCCTCGATATCGATTCCTCCATTCTGCTCTTGTAGACATAGGTATTCCCTCACTCCTTACGGAATGGATTGATAAAATGCTGGAAAGCAGAATTATCAACTCATCCTTAGGAGAGAGTTCCGTGAGGAAATCTGTCAACAGAGGCACACCTCAGGGAGGAGTACTTTCCCCCCTTTTGTGGCTTCTGGTGATAAATGAGATACTTATGAAATTCAATCATCTCAGGATAAAGGTTGTAGCCTATGCCGATGATGTAGTCTTGTTGGTTGGGGGTAAGTTTATAACGACAATATCAGACATCCTAGAGGGTGCGCTTTCAGCCCTGTCAAATTGGGCTTGCACCAAAGGTCTTGGTGTAAACCCCACTAAAACCGAATTGGTGCTCTTCACTAGGAAATACAAAATTCCTAGTTTCCGCCTGCCATCACTTGGTGGAGTGACTTTAACCCTTTCTGATGAAGCTTGGTACTGTCCTAGACCGCAAGTTACTGTGGAATAGGAATGTCGAGGAACGCTCCAAGAAGGGATTGCTGGCACTCTATTCATGCAAGAACTCCATAGGCAAGAGTTGAGGATTGAGACCCGGAATTATACACTGGCTGTATACGACGATTGTCTTACCCATACTTACTTATGGATGTCTTGTCTGGTGGCAGGGGGTGAATAAAAAGAAGCTGCTGACAAAACTGAGCCTAGTACAGCGATCGGCTTCGATTCTGATCACCGGAGCATTAAGAAGCACACCACAGGCCGCCTTGATTGCAATCTTGAATCTCCAACCTTTGGATATTCTGATCAAATTCCAGGCGGCCAGGTGTGTCCTGAGACTCCGGGAAACAGATGCCTTGAAATCGCTGAACTATGGTTATGCCAGCATCCTAAACATAACGCCAGGTTATGACCTTTTTAGGGGGGATAGTCATATGAATTTCCTAGTAGGAAATCCTGGACTAGTGGCTCCCTACCTCTACCAGGTCTGTCAATCTTCACAGACGGGTCCAAGATGGAGGAAGGCACTGGCGCAGGCGTCTACTGCAGGGAATTAGGTATACAGAACTCATATAAACTCAACAATGATTGTAGCGTTTTTCAAGCAGAGATTCTTGCAATCACGAAAGCGGCCGAGATAGTAAAAGCACTTAATAACGACATTGCGGGACCGGTGACTATTTACGTAGATAGTCAGGCGGATCTGAAAGCGGTGAAGTCGCATACTATAAACTCGAAAGCAGTTCATGATTGTAAGACCGCTCTGAATGATATACGACAGATAGTTGGGCTATGCTGGGTTCCAGGACATAATGATATTGAAGGGAATGAGATAGCCGACGAGCTTGCTCGAGGGGGGTCACAGTCGTCCAGTCTTCTGATTGAGAGATCTGCGAAACCCCCTATTAGCTATTTCATTCGCAGAATCCGCGCGTTCCATTGCGAGGTAGTCGGCAACAAATGGCTGAGGGAACCTGCTTGCAGAATCTCTAAATCTATCTGGCCAGAATTCTCTCGTAAAAGAACGTCTTCGCTGCTGGATCACAGCAAGAGAGAGATCAAAATCGTTGTGGGGATCATTACTGGTCACTGCAAAGTTAGATCTCTCACTTCTAAGTGGGACTCCAGTGGAGAAGATTACTGTCGTCTATGTGAGGACGAAGAAGAAGTGGAAACAATTGAGCACATCCTCTGCAAATGTCCATCGCTGATCAGCAGAAGACATAAACAGTTTGGATGTTATGAAATTGATAATCTAGTCTTCTTCTCCAAAATAGACCCTAACCAAATTCTAGGCTTTGTCAAAAAATTGACTTGGCTAAAATAATGTCTCTTCCGTTCCCTCGTTCTCACTATTTCTCCCTCTACTCTTCCACTATCTTTTCTTCTTCTCTTTATAGGTATACCTATACATAAAGGATGTACAATGGACATAGTTTCCGAGTGGACGGCTGTTATAACAGCCGTACATCCCTAACCTAACCTAAGGACAATAAGGAACGAATTTGCGGGAAATATGCCATATTAACCCGTATATAATAAAAGAGTTACGAAACAAAATTTTGCCTTTAACACGCCAGATGACCGGACACCAAGAATATCTTCACAATTTAAAATAGAATTCTATTGCGCATTCAATGTTGAAATCAGTTCAACCAACTCATCTTTTCTATTCAGAACAAAAACTTTGGAATCGCATGTGTTGCATGGACTTTTGGCGATAAAACGATGAGGGAATTCAATACAGAACTTTGAAAGACCATATCTCAAGGACATAAGGGCTAGATGTAGAAGGTTTTAAAATTATCAGCATCCAGACAAACACGTTTATTTTTTATATTTATTTTTACCATATGAAACAGTTCTTCCATGTCCACTAAAATTTATAAAAATGCATATTTCATGCGAACGGCATTAATGATCTGAAAAAAATTAGATCATATTTAAGACGTTCATCAAATAGTTTAGAAATTTTCCAAGTTGATACATTTGATATCTTCGACAATGGCCAATGCATCCAAATATTCTTCATTTTGTTAAACGACAAAGTTCATGAATATTCATTGGTCTTATAAAAGATGGTCCGCAATACATAATCTTCTCTTTGTAGGAGTATGATTTGGGTTGAAAAAACGGACATCCTTCTCATTTGCCGCCCGAAATGAAAGGTTGATTTTTTGCTAGTGAAAACGCTCTTAAATTTGGACGATTATCCTCGATTTTCCAAGAATATGTTTTTCTTGTAGAAGTTGTTAAAACATTAATTATTATTTTGTTGTTGTTTTCTAATATTTCTTGTCAAAAAATAATTGTCGGCATGACAATAATTCTATAACAACAATATTGTTTTTGTAAAATGTTAGTTGTTGTATCTGATGCATACACCTTATTAAATACACCTTGATATTGGCTATATTTCTAGACTTCAAAAGTGTATTTGAAACGGTAGACAGAAATATCCTATTAAAGAAACTTTACGCTATTGGAGTGCGATATATCGAACTAGAGTTGTTTAAATCAAATCTATCCGCAAGGATCGATCCTGGGTGCTCTTTAAAAATAGTGAAATAGTCCTAGTGTCATCATCATGACACTTTGATATACGTAGAAGGAGATTCAGATGAAGAATGTCAACATAGAACATATAATTAAATGGCTAAAAATGAACAAGCTAAAGCTAAACGAACAAAATACAAAAATGTTGGAATTAAATGTAATTAAACCGTTAAATTTTGATACTAATAGTACGTTTACATTTAACCGGATTTCGTTAACCCAGTGGCAAATAAATCCTCATAAAGTAGGTTATAGTACGTTTACATTTAACCGGATTTCGTTCAATTGTCAATTCCTTTGCATATATGTCAAATAAATCCTCATAAATAGGTTAACCCGGTAAAAAGTTCTAATGTATATGCCGTTTAATGGTAATATTATAGAAAAAGTGAACCAAATTAAATACCTCGGTTTCATAATAGTCAAGAGGAACTATACTATATATGAATTGTACTATATGCCATAGAACTATGCCAAAATGTTGATTCAAAGCGCAGACATAATTCAAAATGCGAATTACCGATACGAATGATGTCGGAGGAAGCACTAGTGTCTTGAAACAAAAATTTTAGGTTTATTGCGGGAAACATACGAGAAGACCTTTTAATTATTTGTTTCTGTCATCCGAGCCATTAATCTCATCTTTTTCAACAAAGTCATTTGCATTACAATTTTTTACTTTTCATTTATCATTTTCAATTTTACTAAAAAAGTTTGAAAATTTTATAAATATTTTTTAACTGTGAAAATTAATTTATTTTCAATAAATGCTCTCAATTCGCTTCCTAATTAATGGTCGAACAACGAATGAGAGAGCGAAGAACGCACGTATGTACTGGACATTAGGGGATGAAGACATTTACTTACATTTAGAACATTTCATACCAGAAAATGTAGAAGAATTTATAATAAATTATTATTATTATTTTAAATATATATTAGTATTCTTATGACGTTTTGTAATTAGTGCAAAATATCTATTTGAACCTAGTGGTTCAAATTCTTTGTAATTATTACAAAGAATTTGTCATCTTCAATCTTAACAAGAGGTGCCCGAAACACTCTTTCGAGTCGTTCCTCAAAATATTACCCAAATAGGTATTCGGTACCTCTAAATTAATAAATTATATTTACATTTTTATTATTAAAAAGTCATAAAAAATGCCACGCCCGTTTTTTGGAACAATGAATGATTTCAAATATATAATCCTATTATGTGTTTCCCTCTTTACTTTTTTTAATTCGCGTCAACGCGCGCAAATATTTTAAATATACCCTCTAAGAAAAATAAACGTAACGCATTTTGCGAAACGAAAACGGGCCGCCAATTCGCTAACACATGCAATTAATTCTGTGCAAAAGGCTTCGCAAATGTGCCGTTTTTACGGTAGGAGCTTTTCTCGGATTTTTCCTGCCCATAGAGAACTCTCTGTGCCATATTACAGCTAATTTGATCGCAAAATGTGTATTATAGGAAAAAATAACATAAATCGGGAGGGACGGTTATATGGGCACTATATGAAAACTTGGACCCAGGGACCTCATTTCCGATACCAGTATTGATATAAAAACCAAATTTTGGCAGCCTATATTAAGTGGTTCGCCAGTTAATGAGTTTATATTTTTGGGTAAATACTCAAAATAGGGGTATCTTTGTATGAGGGCTACCAGAAAACGTGTACCTAGATCTATACATTTTTGCATGGACTCATGCAAAATTAGCCAAATTTTGGCCGCCTATGCCAATTGGTTTTGCAGTTAATGAGTTTATACCCGTAAAACTATCCATTCTAAATGTACGTTTAGATTTACGAAATCAGTTCGATCTCAAATGTCAATTCTATTGCTTATACGTCAAATATAATCTACTGGATTTGTGAACAGGATAAACGTTGGGTATACGCAATGAAATTGACATTTTAGATCGGTGGATTTTATAGTCTAAACGTAGCCTAAGTCGATTTGATAACAGAAACCCAGAAATAGGGTAACTGATCATCACGTCAGATTCATTTTTTAATACAGAATGTACAATGGCCAAATTTCCCAACGCGAGGATAACCGTTTTTTGCTGTCGTTAAAAAGTGGTTCCAATATGCAAAGGACTGGCAGAGGAAACTCGCAGTCAAAATAAACGGTTAATTGTATTTTAGTTCCTCAGATTGAAGTGAAATCTTTCAGTTTTAGTTTTTAATTCTACAACACATATTTATATTACTTTTGTAGTTTGCCGTTTTTTAGAGAGTATTTAACTCCGAAGCGCAACACACATCAACCTTAAAGGGCTAAGCGGAAAGTTGGGGTTGTGCGTTTTTTGAAGGGATAACCAGAATGTTCGCGTTAGGCGTTTTTGTTACCGCGTTAACGCACGCATATAACATATATGTAAAGGGGTAAGCCGAATGGTCGCATTGAGCCATCCGTCGCGTTATATGTTATCGAAAATACAACAACCACAAGGAAACGATAACACAAACGCTCGAAGTTGTTGTGCGCTGCGCTTCGGAGTTAAATATATTTTAACTTTTTGGGTGCGTTAACGCGATAACAAAAAACGCTCAACGCGAACATTCTGTTTAGCCTTTAACTTTGAAGCGTAACGCACATTAACTTCAAGCCTTTGTGTTATCGTTTCCTTGTTAACGGTGTTAGCGCGACGGATGGCTCAACGCGCACAAAACGTTAAAATATATTTATCTCCGATGCGTAACACATATCAACTTCGAGCGTTTGTGTCATCTTTTCTTTGTGGTGTTAAGGGCTAAGCAGAATGCTCGCGTTGAACCATCAGTCGCGTTATGTGTTATCGAAAATACAACAACCACAACGCGTTGCACTTCGGAGTTAAATATATTTTAACTGGGGGTTTATGTAAGGGTTCTAAATCTACAGAGTTGATTTAAGGGGAAACATATACGTGGTTTCAGGCATGGCATTGTATGAAATGTTAATTTATAAAGGAATATCAGAATCAAACTTGGATTTGAAGGCCGTTCTCCTTTATTCTTTTACATTAAACAAAGCCAACTTAACCCAGATAGGTATTTCGGTATAATTCATATAATAACATGTGTTTAATATTGTGAAATTTAGGTAGGGCGGATATGTTTGTAAATTTTATTTTGATTAAAATTGACGAATGTTACGCAAATACAATAAAAACCACAAATATTATCTTCCTATTCATGTTTCTAATAAAAATTCTCCAATCCCTTTGTTGTTGTAATCAACTGTATCAGTGCAAACTTTTTACTAACGGCATTTACATTATAACTTGTTACCAGGTTAACCTACTTCATGAGGATTTATTTGACATACCTAAAATGGAACTGGCATATTAAACCCACTGGATTACCGAAATGCGGAACCATGTAAATGTACTGTTACACTCGTACTTACTGAGTTAATTTCACTGCAAAAGTAAACGAACACAGTTAATGTCATATCTTTCAATGTGAATTTCCCTTTGGAATGTTATGTCACCGCAATTGTTATAGGTAGAACTTCGCATAATGATTTTTAATACTTTTTACAACAATTGTGAGAAAAACAATCGATTTTCAGAACTTCGCGATTTTGTTAGTCTACTGAAAGGAAATTAGTAACATGTTTATTTTTGCCGAAGTTTTTAATGCCTAAGTCCTACAGTATTCGAAAACAAAAACTATATTGCCAATATCTTCAATTCTTAATGGAATGTAGGTGGATATTTACACATTTCCATATATTTAAATGTATACATTTAATGGTTTTATATATGTGTATGTGTGTATCGAGATTGCATATATTTATTATATATATACATATATATGTATAATTGTGTACCTCTTTTCGTAACTCACTCTATAGGATCTGTTAATTTCGCTACAGGATTGTCAAGAATACCTTGTCTGTGAAAACAATTCGGATGTCTATTATTATGCTATTGTTCAAACGCTGGTATCATCGAGGTTGAAATTGCAGAAATACCTCATTTAATAAAAATTTAGAGCAGTTGCAACTACGATGTTTTCTGCACAACATGGAAATATTGCCAGTGGTATAAATATGGGTGAATCGGACGTCTACGACTTTACCAAAAGTGAAAATGTTGCTCGATGGAAGGGCTTGTTTATACCTTCTCTAAAAAAAGTAATGATTCATCTTCCAATAATTAAATAAATGCATTTTTTAAAAAATATTATGTTTAGGTTTTGGAACAAGTTCATCCACGTCTGACTGCTAAGGAAGAGGCATTAATGTTTGTAGAGACGTTGTGCTTACGAATTTTAGCCATGCTTTGCGCAAAACCCCTGCCACATACTGTCCAGGTAATATAGTTCTAAAGCATATCTAGGTAAATGTCGAAAAAGTTTATGTATTTGTAGGATATTGAGGAAAAAGTTCGAAAATATTTCCCATCGCCAATAGATTGTTGGGCATTAAATGAAGCAAAGGAAGCTCTGGTTTCAAAAAAACGTAAATCTGTCCTTCCAACGGATCGTGTTCATACATTACTACAAAAGGTAATTTATAATTGTACTTTTATTTTATAAATTAATAAAAAGATGGAAAACAATTGGGAAACATGCAATGAATGTTTTCCAAAGCAAGCTTTGGCTTAATTTGAGTTAGGGGCTCATCTCCGTGTTTTACCGCAGGTACTGCTCGTCTCCTTGATCACGTATATATATGTGGGAAGACCATACTTCCCCAGATATGGACCTCTGAAGTTCCAGAATTCATATACTCATAACTCATTTATTGCCCGATTGCGGTAAAATCTAAGATGAGCCCCTTAACTCAACTTGTTCCATATTATCTGATATAATTTTGTATTCGTTTTAAATATTTATATTCTTAATTTCACAGCGTAAATATGAACTTGAAAATTATATAGTTTTGCTAATTAATTTTTTTTTCATAAGATACATTTTATTACAAAATATGATACATTGATACATGATACATTTTTTTTTACAAAATATTTAAAAATATGCCAAACCTATCAGGGCTTAATAATTTTTTAAGCTAAGTGATTGGCACATTCCATCGAGTAATTTTTGTTTAAACTTTCATTATTGATTCTTTAGCACACCTCAATCGATTCAATTTATCACTGTAAAAGCAACTGAGAAATTAAAAATTTATAATTCCCAACCATGGTATAATAATAAAAGGTAACTGTAAGTGTTGTTTTACAACTATCTGAAACAACAACCACATGACAATTTGTTGGTAGAAAGTAATAGTAATGCCACTCGAAGACCCAATTCAAAATGTAAAACGAAAATACTTTATATTATTATACCATAGTTTCCAACACCACATAGTTCTCGGTGGTGTAACTTATATGTATATAATAATATTAATATTATAATAACATTAGAAACGTGTTTTTGCAGGACGTTTTGCAATATAAAATTGACAGCTCGGTTTCTGTATTTTTGGTCGCCGTGTTGGAATATATATCCGCGGACATATTGAAACTGGCTGGGAATTATGTAAGGAAAATAAAGCATTGCGAAATATCCAAGGAAGATATTGAAGTAGCAATGTGTGCGGACAAGGTATGCTGGTTAACGCTTTTGTACCTAATTAAATAATAATTGTTGGTAAAATATTGCAGGTTCTAATGGATATGTTTTATCAACCAGACATAAAAACAAATGTTTTACCAAGTCCTTTACCGTCGCTGCCGGCACAGCGTACGAGCACAACGTACGAGGAAGTTGTCAAAGATTTAATCAACGACGAGAAACAATATCAACGTGATTTACACATGATCATTCGAGTTTTTCGAGAGGAGCTCGTTAAAATAGTTAAGGACCCTAAGGAGATTGAAGACATTTTTTCTAACATCTTAGATATATATGAAGTGACGGTAACATTGTTAGGTTCATTGGAGGATGTTATTGAAATGTCCCAGGAACAGAGTGCACCATGTGTTGGCAGTTGTTTTGAGGAGTTAGCCGAAGCTGAAGAGTTCGATGTGTATACCAAATATGCACAAGAAGTTACTTCTCAAACATCAAGAGATGCATTAACGACATTGCTTGCAAAGCCAGACGTAAGGGTGCAAAAATTAAAAAAAAAAAAAAAAAACAAAATAAAAAAACTCATTTTCATACAATTATCTAGGCAATGTCACTAATGTCAGCGGGCCACGGATTCCGAGACGCCGTAAAATATTACTTACCAAAGTTGTTATTGGTACCTATTTGGCACGCGTTTATGTATTTTGATTATATAAAGATATTAATGAAATATAGTCCTTCGCAAGACGATATAGAAAGCTTTGAACAAGTTCAGGGTCTATTGCGCCCATTAAGAAATGACCTAGAAAATATTGTTGCAACGTTGCCAAAGTATGTGTCAACTACAAATATTTGAATATAAACACTTTTATATAGTTTGTTTTATTACAGAGAATCCTGCATTGCAATGAGTAGTAGAGCCCGTAGGCAGCTTGCCATTGAACGGACAAGAGAACTGCAGAACACGGTAGAGCATTTCGATAAAGATGTTGGTCAAAACTGCAATGAGTTTATTCGAGGTACTTGAAGAATATATACAATTTCAATTTGAATAAATAATATTTTTATTATATTTTGCAGAGGATGTCCTAGGAAAACTTGGTTCTGGGAAAAAAATTGCGGAACGCAAGGCATATCTTTTTGATGGATTAATGCTTCTTTGTAAACCTAATACAAAACGTCAAACTACATCGGCAAACTCTCAGGTTTACGAATATAGGCTAAAAGAAAAATTTTATATGAGACGAGTTGAGATAAATGACCGTCCTGACACCGACGATCTTAAATATGCATTTGATGTCGCTCCAAGAGTTCAACCGCCAATAACTCTAGCTGCTAAAAGTTCTTTGCATAAAAATGATTGGATGGCAGATCTAATAATGGTAAATACAAAGTCAATGCTTGATAGAATTCTTGACAGCATTCTATTGGATATCGAAAAGAAACATCCACTACGTATGCCTAGCAGCGACATATATAGGTTCGCCGAACCTGACAGTCCCGATAATATAGTTTTGGAAGAAAGAGAGAGTGCCGGAGTACCATTAATAAAGGTAGTGTTTAGTGTGAATTTGTGTAGATATGATTTTAATATCGAGTCTTTTTTAGGGTGCAACATTGTGTAAGCTCATTGAACGGCTTACTTATCATATTTACGCAGACCCAATGTTTGTACGTACATTCCTTACAACATACCGATATTTCTGTACGCCACAGAATTTACTTTCCTTGCTGATAGAACGCTTTAATATACCTGATCCCAGCGTAGTTTATACGGACAACAGTGATAAAGATTGTGAAACCGATAAACTTCATAAAAATTCTCAAAGGGAGGATTGGAAGCGTTATCGAAAGGAATATGTACAGCCTGTACAATTTAGGGTCTTAAACGTTTTACGACACTGGGTGGACCATCATTTTTATGATTTTGAAAAAGACCCATCATTACTTGAAAAATTGTTGCAGTTCCTAGAAAGTGTAAATGGGAAATCAATGAGGAAATGGGTCGATTCTGTTCTAAAAATAGTCCAAAGGAAGGTAAATGTATAAATTTAAAATTTTTTCAATACAATTATTTTTTCTCAATATTGCAAACACTTAATTTATAACACTATATTTGAATTATATATATATATATAATTATATATATATATATATAATTATATATATATTGCGGGCCCGGCAAACGTTGTCTTGCCCATTTTAGATTTGTTTGTATATCCTACATCATAAGGTGGAGTGTACAGATCTTTGTAATACCTTGGTATTTATCAGAGCACACATAAAGAGAGTGCTGAATATCTACAATTTGATGTTTATGAGCGAGTCTTGTTGCTATTTTCGCATTCAAAGTTTCGGTGTATATACATTTATTAATATTTGGATTTATGGATAAAATGTAATAAACTTATATGCACATATAAGTTTGACTGTCGGAATTAATTACATTTTCCCAATATATTTATAAGACTTCCTCATATCGGTAGTCCAATGTTAACTTAGCTTTTTTACCTCTCACAATTTAAAATAGAGCTTTGAAATTTGCACATGCATTACTACTACTCCTATTGTACACTTTTTAGGGTAGATCCAGTGGCTGTAATTTTTTTATTTCGGATGATCAAAACCTTATAACAAAAATTATCAATATGGTCCAAGATTCCAGTTAGCCCCCATATAATAGTATCGTCCATTGTTTGGTATTTTCTCATGTGGTGTCAAATCTTCCTACCAAAAAATAATATATATCCATTCCCATTGTAGTAGCTGTAATAAGTCATTCCGGAATATTGCGAAAGTTTTGATATAGTCTCTGCATATAGGTTCCCCCATTTTCGGTATTATAACAACTTTGACCGAATTTTCCTTTAGAATTTGACATAACGGATTCCTGTGAATGAAAAACTTATTCCCAGAAATTGTGCACTATAACTTAACGTTTTTAAAAGACGCCGCACATATTTCCCGTTTAATTTTTGGTATGTTAAAGTTCTTAACCCGTTTTACAACCTGAGTGTCTGTAATTTTGAACATTATTTGTTCAAAGAACGAACAACGTACTACCAATTAATGCTGTATACATCGGTAGGTGACATATTGAGGTATTTGCAATTTTATAGTTACATCTTCAATTTTTATAATAAATGTTTTTGGCGGAGTTTTTTTTTTAAGTTTGCTGTTGTTTGATAGTTGATCTCTTTCCATTTGCGATTAGTGATATAATTTTGCAAAGAAAATATAATTGTAAATTAATATTCTCTGTGATACACACTTTTGAATATATTCGAGGTGTTGTGTTTATAAGTTCAAGAACATTGACCAACGATTAGGCGTATAACCACCTGATTTGATATTTCCCGTGGCATAGCAACATTTTAGGTACTTTAAATAATTTTTAAGAAAAATAATCTAGGTCTGTAAGTTAGAATCATAAATCTATTCCGAATATCTTCTGATTTTCATCCATGCGATTGTCCCAAAATTCACGTACAATTTATGGACAACGTGTAGATTCAATGATATACTTTTAAATTATTTTTTTTATTCTCACATAAAATAGTTTCAAAACAATGTCAATTCAATTGAAAAAAAAAAATATTTTGAAATTTTTCAATAATTGAAAATTAATGCTTTTAGGAATGATCCACCAACAATTTTGTACCAAAATATCTCAAAATAACATATATGACGTGGTGCAATCCATATAGCTCGATATTAAATTCGCGGAAATGCTCATATGCTTCATAATTTTTTTTTGCAAATTTTTCGCGATTTTCAAAATTTTCTTACCTTTTAAACCTTCCCTGAAGCTGCACGAACATTTCAAGACTAAGATAAGAAAAAAGCTGCACGAAACATTTTTATATATAAGTACATAATAATTTGGAAAAAATAATGAAAAAAAATATTATGAAAAACAATGTTATGAAAAAATAAATATTCATTTGAAAATGAAAATTTTCAAAAAGATTTTAGAAAGAGTTCTGATGCAAAACAATAATTGAGATGAAGACACGTACATTTTGGAATAAATGCCCTAGATTATTCTTCTTGAAAATAATAATAATAGGAACACAGTATCGAAAAAGGTGGATTACTATTACATGGGGGATATTTGAAACCTTGGGCGAACATAACATGGCAGCCAAATACCGAATATTAAGGGATGCCGTTAGATGGGGATATCCGAATACTTGAGTCAATATGGAAAATTCTAATTAGGGAGAATTTCTGCCCAATAAGTATCCCTAATATTAGGTTTGTGAAAAAGAAATCCATTAGACCGGTGGAACGATCGAATTTTACAGGCATGTCGTAACATCGTCCAGGAGCTAAAAATTAAACCATTCACACAAAGCTGGATTCAAAAATAAGCTCAATGGTTGGGTGCCTCACCAATACCGCAATTTCAGAGCACTATCTTAAAGATTATTTAATATTGGGCTATCGTTATGTGAATTATACATCAACAATATTGCTATGCAAGACAACGTTTGCCGGGCCGGCAATGTTGAATGTTGAAGTGTTCGTGGATGTTCAGGGAAGGTTTAAAAGGTGAGAAAAAATTGAAAATCGCGAAAAATTTGCAAAAAATATTTTGAAGCATATTTGCATTTCCGCGAATTTAGTATCGAGATATATGAAAAGCACCACGCAACAAATTTTTCAAAATATTTAATTTTTTTTAAATTGGATTGACATTGTATTGAAACATTTTTTTGGGAGAATACAAAAAATAATTGAGAAGTATATTATTGAATGCACACGCGATCATTGTATTTACACGTTTTCCATAGAATACAGGTACATATTGGGACCAATGCAAGGATGGAAAATCAGAAGACATTCTGAATCGAGTTCGTGGCCATTCAGGATATTCGGATTCTAAGATCCATGCTCTAGATTAATATGTTTGAAAATAATAATATGAACATGTTGTTCCTTAAAGTAAATGAAATGTTGATATGCAACGGGAAATATGAAATCAGGTGGTTAAATGCCTAATCCTTTTCAATATCTTTGAACTTATAAACAGACCACGTCGCATATATCCCATACCAAAAATGTGTATCACAGAGAAAACTAATATCTATATCTATATATATATATAAATGAATTGCTGTTAGTCTCGCTAAAACTCGGGAACGGCTGAACGGATTTATCTGATCTTAGTCTTGAAATGTTCGTGGAGGTTCAGAGAAGGTTTAAAAGGTGAGAAAAAATCGAAAACCGCGAAAATTTTGCAAAACATATTATGCAGCCTATTTGCATTTCCACGAATTTAGTATCGAGCTGTTTTGATAGCACCACGTCGTAGTTGTTATTTTGAGGTATTTTGGGCGAAAATTGGTAGCGTATCATTCCTTTGAGCCTACAATTAATTATTCAACATTTCCACAATATTTATTATTTTTTAATTGGATTGACATTGTATTGAAACATTTTTTGGGACAATACAAACAATAATTGAAAAGTATATCATGGAATGTACACGCGATCATTGTATGCACACGTTTTCCATAGAATGCACGTACATTTTGGGACTAATGCAAGGGTGGAAAATCGGACATTCTGAATCGAGTTCGTGGTCATTCAGGGTATCCTAAGATCCATGCCCTAGATTAATTTGTTTGAAAATATTAATAATAATAATAGGAACATGTTACCTGAAGGAAGGAACATGTACCTGAAATGTTCCTTCCTTCAGGTAACATTCGTATTGAACATGCCAACTACCAATCATAATTTCGGGGATGATGTCTTTTATACACAGGAATCCGTTATGCTTAATTATAGCCAACTCAATGAGAAAATTAGGTCAATGTCCTTATAATACCGAAAATGGGGCGAGACCTTTATATATTGCTATATCATAGCTTGGACCTAAATAGATAATTTTTCGCAAAAATGTGTCTCACTCCCAATATCCCGGAATGACATATTTTAGCTACTACAATTGGAATGGAGATATATTAATTTTTGGTAGGAAGATTTGACACCACATGAGAAATTATGGGGGATATAATTATATGTGTTCTACCCGGAAACTTGGACCCATATTGATAACTCTTTGTAAGGAGATTTTGTACTCACTGATCATCTAAAATATAAAATTACAGCCAATTTGGTTGAAATACGTGGCCAAACCCCCCAAAATACAGAATAGTGGGCAATATTGAAAATTTTTAGTAGAATTCATGCTACCAAATAAAACAACCAATTACAGCTGATGAGGTTGAAAAACGTGTCCAAATCCTTTTGAGGATCGTATAATGGGGAGTACCATTATATAGAGGCTTTTCGTAAGCTTTGGCAAATGTGGTAGGAACATTTTCTACACTATGATCATCCGAAACATAAAATTACTGCCAAACACCGAATATTAAGGGATTACCCGGATACTTGGGCGGTACCCCGAAATATGTGCAAATATTAATAATATTTGGTACGAACACTTTCTGCTCAATTATAAACAATTCTGTTGAAAACCCCGTCAAAAAATGGGAGCTACCCTTAATTCTGAACTTTGTAATATTAAACATTTTCAATACCAAATATTCTAGGAGTAGTAGCAATGTATGTGCAAATTTCAGAGCACAATCCATAATAGAGGAGGATAAAAAAACGTTAACTTTAATATTGGGTTATCGTTATGTGAATTATACATCAACAATATTGCTATACAAGACAACGTTTGTCTTGCCTTAACAATATTGTTATGAAATAATTTTCAGTATTTCAGATTTGTTTTTCTTTTTTGCTTTTTTTATTCATACTTGCATAAACAATTTTTCTGGGTAAGAAATATATTTCGCCGTATATCGATTTTGATCGTTACATTGGAAGCTATAGCACACACGCAATAAATTTGAATATACTGAACTGAGTCTAGAATTATGATGCACTAAGTTTCGTAAACATCGGTTCAAATTTAGATATACTTGCCATATATAGTTTCGTCCGATTTTACGTAAATGATGCACCAAAACCCCTATATATTTTTCGATTTGAATGAAATATGTCATAGCGTACTGAAC